AATCCCGTTGCCGGTCCTGGTCCGGTATGGGGGCAACACTGAGGGTTGCGATCCGTTGCCGGACACGGAAAAAGACCAAAAAAAAAAAAAAGAAAAAAGAATGCTGTGAAGTAAGGAATGAAGGGGTGGGAAACTCAGGACATTTGTGGGGAGTAGAAAATATAATTTGGCATGTTTAGAACACATAGAACATACACTAGGGAGTTGAGAAACATTTGGAAAGGACAGATAGCGACTAGTTATGAACACCCAAGCTAAGGAGTTTGGACTTCAAAATGCAGATAAAAAGAGGTCATTAAAAGTGTGTGTGGGCTGGCCCGGTGGCGCACTGGATAGTGCGCCGCTTGGGAAGCGCGGCGGCGCTCCCGCCCGAGGGTTCGGATCCCACATACAGACCGGTTCCCGCTCACCGGCTGAGCGAGGCGCGGGAGCGGCGCCAAGGGTTACGATCCCGTTGCCGGTCCCCGGTCCGGTACGGGGGCGACACTGAGGGTTGCGATNGGAAAAAGACAAAAGACAAAAAAAAAAAAAAGTGTGTGTGGATCACACACACACACACACACACACACAGAAATATCACATACCGACAGATGTAAGCCACATCCACAGCTGTGATTAGATAAGATTGATATGGCAGTTCAGTTCTGTTCACACAGTGACTAGTATAAGCCAGACATGGGACTAGGTGCTGGAGACTGGGCAAGCAGTCACAGGACATAAACGATTTGCTTTCTCTCTTCTCTGCTAGATACATTTCGGAGGCCCAAAAAGATTAAATAACATTCCTGTGCTTTCATTTTCCCACACTTAAATAGGCCCATGACCACTGGTCTAACAACAGAAAGAAAATGCCTGTGTTCAACAGCAGCCATATAAAAATACGAGAAGCAACTCTCAGCTTTTTTCTGATACCTAAAAAAATAGAAATAGTTTCTCGTGTGTCTCAGCTATTTCAAATGTTTGTTCCTCAGGGGAGTACTAAGCTGGATCAGTGGTGGTACCATATATAATAATAGGTGATGATATATACCTCATGCTTCATAGAGTGACACTATGGATTTCCAAGATACTTAAAACAGCATTGGCAACAAAAATTAGTTCTAGATACTAGTATTCAATAAATGAGCCTTGATAAAAAATAGATCAAGAGTATAAACTTATTAGGAATTTAATTTTCACCTCTTTGATGAAGTAGAAACAGTAATGACAACAAAACACTTATCCTCTTAACATACTCAGAAGTAGTTCAGAGTTTAGTTTAAGCATTTGATTAGTTATCACTAATTCTTCATTCTAAAAACTTAATGAAAACAAAAAGCATGGGGCTTTCCACACCCAACTGTTAAATTAATTATCTAGTGCATAAGAAGCCAACATAGCTGAACCAGTTAACCTACAGCTGACCAGTCTTCTCCTTTGCCCTCTTAATCCATACTTAACTGTAGTATATTTTTTCTGAGTGCATAAGAAGCCAACATAGCTGAACCAGTTAACCTAGAGCTGACCAGTCTTCTCCTTTGCCCTCTTAATCCATACTTAACTGTAGTATATTTTTTCTGAGTTTAATGGTTTATACGGCTCTCTTAATAATCCGTAAGCTCCTGGAGGGCAGGAGCCATGTTTTATATCTACCTCTCTATCTTTAGCACCTGGAATAGTGCTTGATACATAACTGGCATGCATGTGCACATGCATATACTTATACGTGTGTGTGTAAAGGATAAACAAGTACTTAAAGAGAACCGGGCTTAGAAAGAATATGAGAGAAAAGAGAATTACTTTGACAACCAAAACTTCATTACTATCTCATAAAAAGTTATTTGAAGAGGAATTCTTACCTGGCGTGTTATTACAAAATATGCATACATTGCCATGGCACTTCCATAAGTGATGAAGTAGGTGACTGGCTCCATGATATCCCAGGAATATTCCCACCAGGTAAGCCGGGCCAAAATGCCAAACTGTGTGGCCATGTAGGCAAGGCCACCCCATAGCACCAAAGTAGTCCTCTTCTCAGCTTTCCTGCTAATCTCAATTCGAACCTATTAGGCACACAAGATCAATTGCAAGGTATTTTGACATAGAACCAATTTAAAACTCTGATTTAAACTATTCTATGTTCATTAAAGAAACAGGACTCATACTCAAGATACGAGTTACTCTCAATTCTTCCTAAATAGTATCTGTAGTTTTCCCTGCATTCATGGGTTCCCCTTCTGTGGATTCAACCAGCCATGGATGGAAAATATTAGAAAAAATAAAAAATAACAATATAATAAAAAATAACACAAATTTAAAAAATACAGTTTAACAACTATTTACCTAGCATTTACATTGTATTAGGTTATTATATGTAATGTAGAGATGATTTAAAGTATACGGGAGGATGTGCATAGGTTATATGCAAATACTGTCATCTGTCCATATAACTATAAAATAGCATATTACTTACAAAGAATTGTGATTTTTTATTCTTTTTTCTGTATCTTTTATTATTGTACATATCTGTGGGGTATAGTGTCGAACATCAATACCAGTGTGCAACTGGTATTCAATACTGGTGTTCAAATCAGGACAATCAGCACATCTACCATTACACAATGCAATTGATACTTGAGGCCCCCTCCAATTCCTCCCCCTGCTCCCATCAATCCAAGCTCTGTTCCCCTCTCCCCAAAAGTCCATTGTATTATTGTGATTGCTGCATTGCTTTTCCTCCTTTATTTGTTAATTCGTTCATCTATTTTTTTATTAGCTCCCACGTGTAAGTGACGACATGTGGTATTTCTCTTTTTGTGCTTGCTTATTTCACTTAACATAATTTTCTCTAAGTTCATCCATGTTACTGCAAATGGCAGTATTTCATTCTTTTTTATGGCAGAGTAATATTCTACTGTATAAATATACCACATTTTCCTTATCCTCTCATCCAATGATGGGCATTTAGGTTGGTTCCAACTCTTGGCTATTGTAAATAGAGCTGCAATAAACTTGGGAGTACAGGTGTCCCTTCAACACAATGATTTCCATTCCTTTGGTTATATAACCTGCAGTGGGACTGCTGGGTCATATGGCAGTTCTCTCTGTAGTTGTTTGAGGAACTCCATACCATTTTCCATAATGGCTGCACCATTTTATAGTCCTATCAACAGTGTAGGAGGGTTCCCCTTTCCCACCAGCATTTGTTATTCTCTATTCTTTTGATAACAGCCAGTCTAACTGGAGTGAGATGATATCTCAGTGTTGTTTTGATTTGCATTTCCCAGACACTGGGCAATGTTGAGCGTTTTTTCATGTGCCTGTTGGCTATTCGTATATATTCCATTATGAAATGCCTATTCAGCTCCTTTGCCCACTTTTTAGTTGGCTTATTTGTTTTTCTATTGTTAAGTTGTTTGAATTCCTTGCATATTCTGGATATTAATCCTTTGTCAGATGCATATCTTGCAAATATTTTCTCCCACTCAGTTGTCTTTTTGCTTTGTTTCTTTTGCTATGCAGAAGCTTTTTAGTTTGATATAATCATATTTGTTTATGTTTCCTTTTATTGCCTGTGCTTTTGGAGTCATATTCATAAAGTCTATGCCCAATCCTACTTCCTGAAGAGCTTCCCATATGTTTTCTTTGAGAAGTTTTATACTTTCAGGATGTATATTTAATTCTTTACCCCATTTTGAGTTGATTTTGGATATGGTGAGAGGCACGGGTCTAGTTTCATTCTTCTACCTATGGATGTCCAATTTTCCCAGCACCATTTATCAAAGAGGCAGTCTTTTCCACAGTGTATGTTCTTGGTGTCTTTGTTGAAGATCAGCTGGCTGTGGGTATATGGGCTGATTTCTGGGTTCTCTATTCTGTTCCATTGGTCTGTGTGTCTGTTTTTATGCCACCACCATGCTGTTTTGGTTACTATAGCTTTGTAGTATAATTTGAAGTCAGGTAGTGTTATGCCTCTGGCTTTTTTTTTTTTTTTTTTTTTTGCTTGGGATTGCTTTGGCTATTCAGAGTCTTTTGTTTTTCCAT